AGAACACTGGGCTGGGTTGACATTATACACCAATCCCAGGATCATATAAGAAACCACTACAAGTTCAGAACTGGAAATTTGGTGGCTGCATTCTAGAGACCACCCCAGCCACTCCACTGGACGTGGTGGTTATTTTCAAGTTTGTTCTGCGGTTCTGTATTAGATAGTACATGGGGCTAAGTACACCTTCAAAGATTAAGGAGTATATAAAAGGACTAAAAGAAATCTAATTAGAAACATTTCCCTCACACTTAAATATAAAAGATGAAACAAAATAGCCCTTTCTCTAAAATTATTATCAGTTAGTTTATAAAAGGGACCAATATGAGAATAATAGAAATGATCACTCTGGACAAGAACTGAGTGTTGAAGGTAGGTAAAGATATATATATCTTTATATATACATATATAAAGATATATATACACTTTATGTATATAAATATACACTGATATATATATATATATATATATATATATATATATATATATATTCCTCCACCCCTCTTGGAGAGCCCAGCAAACTACCGAGAGTATCTCGCCTGGCAAGCTACCCGTGATGTATTCCATATGCCAAACACAGTAACAACAAAGTCTCCAATGGAGACGTTACTGGTCCCACTCAAGCAAATCGATGAACAACGGGAGGACAGTGACAGTGATATATGTATATATATATATATATATATATATATATATAGTCACTTTTCAGTATCTGTATGGCAAATCATATGACCCAAAAAGAAAGAGAGGGAGCAGGTAAGCAGATGAAAACTGGGGAAAATGGTGTTGTGAAATATACACTGTTGAATGAATGGGTGTTGGAACATTATATGACTGAAAGCCAATCATGAACAACCTTGAACTGTATATCTCAATGTATATCTTAATGTGATTTAATAAAAAGAATCAATAATAAAATATTTGACCAGGGGTTGGAATGATAGTACAGAGGGCAAGGTATTGCCTTGCATGTGGAGGACGCAGATTTCATCCCTGGTACCCCATAGGTTCCCTGATCCCACCAGGAGTGATCCCTAAGTGCAGAGCCAGAAGTAAACTCTGAACATCACTGGGTATGACTCCAAATCCAAAATAATTTTAAACAATTTTTAAAAAGATCATCCATATTACACCATCAACCTAGTTCTACTTTGAAAATGATCCTTCACTGGTCACAAAATGTTATTAAAATATATTTCTCAAAAGAAATCTTCCACTGGGGCTGGAGTGATAGCACAGCAGGTAGGGTATTTGCCTTGCATGTGGCCAACCCAGATTCGAATTCCAGAATCCCATATGGTCTCCTGAGCACTGCCAGGAGTAATTCCTGAGTGTAAAGCCAGGAGTAACCCCTGTGCATCGCCGGGTGTGACCCAAAAAGCAAAAATACAACAACAACAATAAAAATCCAAAAAAAATTCCACCATTAATGAACGGACAAGTTCATTCATTGACTCATTTTTGTTGGTCACATATGGATGCCTTATAGATGCCAGGGAATGTGCCAGACTCTGGAGACTTTGAAGATGTACAAGGGAGGGTCCCTGCTTACTGTTCTTTGAAATCTAATGGACTGGGTCTGCTGAAGAACACACATGTAAGAACACAGATGAACTTCAATTCTGGAAAACACGCCACAATGCATGTACCAATTGCAATGCTGAGACAGTCAAAGAAAAAAATTCATGACTTATCTCAGGAGGTTAAGGACTTGTTTTAGGAAGACTTCATAGAAGGAGCATTGTGACAATTTGAGTCTTAACTATTACTCTATATGGGCTGGAGAGAATAGTACAGTGGATAATACTGAATAGTATAGTGAGTAAGCTGCTTGTCTTGACACAGCCGACCTGGGTCCAGACCCTGACACCGCATAGGGTTCCTTGAGCACAGCCAAGAGTTATCCCTTTGCACAGAGCCAGGAATAAGCTTCAAGCACATCCAGGTGTTGCCCCAAAACAACAAAACAAGCAAATAAAAAATGAGTTTGGAGGAGTCAAAGAGATAGTACAGCGCTCACAGTGCTTGTCTTGCATCCTGCTACCCTGATTCAATCCCTGGCATTGCATTTGGTTCTCCCAAGTTACCAATAGGTTCACTCCTCAGCACATCTTGAAATAGTCCCTGAGTATTTTCAGGTTTAGCTCAGACTATCCCTCTTCAAATGAGTCTGTGATATTTAGAAAAACAATGTGGAAAGATATGGGCACAATGGGACTGAGAATATCAAACCTATTGTACACATACTTATTTCATGCTACATATCTGTAGATACTTAATGCTACATACTCACAATAAGGGTATTTAATTTGTCTAATCCTCTCAGAAAGCAATGTGGTGAAATGAATCAAGAACCAAATAATAACTGTGTCTTCGATTTAGAAATCAGAAAGGAACTTGTGAAAATCAATCTTGAGAAAAATAATACTAAATGAGCAAAAATTATGTGTCAAAGATTGTACCATTTATTTATTATGAGAATAGAAGAAGATTAAAAACAAGTCTCTAGGGGCGAGGGAGATAGCTCACGTGGTAGAATATATGCCTGAAATAACCCAAGTTTTATCCCTTTTGTCCCTAATCCACACGTCCGCCCCCCCCCCCCCCTTTACCTCTCAACCCCAGCACTGTCTGGTAATTCCTATTAAAAACACATACAGGTACATATAAAGAAGTAAACTTTGGTATGTTGATTAAAGGAATTATTGTGCATCTTTTTGAACATTACATAACAAGTTTAAATCAGTAATTCCTATCTTGCTACATAGAAAAAGAAAAAATGTATGAGAAGATAAAAATTTCATTGTAAAACTAATCTATAATAAAAAGACTATGAAATGGCACCAGAAGTCCAATAAAAGTTCGGCTTAAATGAGGAAAGTTTTGGATACATGTCTACATCTTTTCCCCCTGAAACTTTCTATTATGTGGTTGTTGAATACCCTTAAGACTTTGTGAAAAAAAAATTCTGTGGAATAAATTTCATTCTCTCCAATTGTGGTGTGAATTTCTTCCAGAAGTCATGAATCTAGTATTTTTTGTTCCTCCTCTAAGTTCACTGGCACAGTGGCTGACAAAGTAGAGCCTATTTCCCTCCAGTCTGCTTCCCGAGGGCCTCAAGACCATTCAGAAAAACAACTACCCTTGACACCTGACACAGCTTTTATATGTGTTGGACACCCTTCCCAGCACTTCACACATACTGGCTCATTAAACTCCACAATCCCACAAGGTAAAACAAATCAAGACTCAGAGTGGTTAGTCAAGCTTTCCTACTAGTGGGTGAGAGAGCCAGGATTCAGACCTAGGGAGTCTGCCTCCTGGGTCTCTGTTCTTAATCACTCAAAAAGAATAAGTTTTGAAATAGTTCTCTGAACATATAGGCAGCCAGACAAGTCCAACCTACGCAGATCTCTGGGTAATGCGAGTGCTGACTAAGGGTAAAGGGAGAGGCACAGAATTCAAAGATTTCTAGCCAGAGTAAGAGTATAGCAAGTAGGGCATTTGCCTTGCATGCAGCCTACCCGAGTTCAATCCCTGGCGCCCCATATGGTCCCCTGAACACCACCGGGAGTGACCCCTGAGTCCATAGCCAGGAAGTCTTACCCATGCATACATCTGGGCATACAACATACAGCACACAGACCCCCCACTCACCCAAATAAACCCCAAAGATCCTAAAGTAATTCACTTCCTAAAAGGAAGGCTGAATCTCTAGCAACAATTTCATTCAGAGTGAACAGAAGGCAGCTAGAGACAGCATCTGGCATCTGAGCAATTATCACTGTGTAAGTATCTGATTTGGTGTCAGGGATGGATTAGAGGCAGCACTGGGCTAAAGGTGAAAAACTCAAGAGCTGTGCTTCTACACACCATGACATTTTCTTTGCTTGCTTGGCCTAAGACAGACCGAGATGATTGTTTTCTTTCTGCTGAGTTTATTTAGGTTACAAAACTCAGACTTTCCTTGGAATTTTTTTTTATATACCCCAAAGCTAGATCAGATTTTTCATGGCCATCTAACCTAGACCCTGTTTATCTCTTCCCTAACATGCACTCAAACGTTCTTATAAACAGAAGAGGACAAGTATCCATTAGAAATAACAAATTCACCACCTTCAAAATGATGGTGTTCTACAGGCCTGCGTCACCTCCCAAATGACTGTGTCTCCCACCTCTGTGATGGTGTGCTACCAATGTGTGGCACCTCCAGAATGACAGTTCTATCAGTCGGGAGAACACTCCTGTTTTCCAGCTTTGTCCAAGAACAGATGCTAGAAATTTACCTCTCGTCAGCTATCCCAACAGATCCCCAGTTACAGAAAAGTTGACATTTTGCCTAATACCACTGAGAGGGAGTACTCCCCAATAGTCTCCAGGTCACAGATGTGCACATCCTCTCCCACCCCAAGGTTCACTGGGCTACTCTATTTACTTCTCTTTTATGCACACTGTGTTCTTCAGTGTCACTCTTGACTGATTCTCCTTCACTGTTATCAGTGATGGATACCCTGAGGACCAAATTTTTCATCTCACAGATGAGGCAAAGAGGCCAGAGAAAAAACATCATCCTAACACCAGGTTGGTGGTGGAGTTGCTCTAGGTTCTTACTCCAGGAGTTCCTTCTGCCCTGTGACCTCAGCTGCCTTGTAGCATTTCTTTCTTTTTTTTGGGGGGGGGGGGGGAACGGTCATACCCAGTGAGGCACAGGGATTATTCCTGGCTTTGCACTCAGGAATTACTCCTGGAGGTGCTCAGGGGACCATTATGGGATGCTGGGAATCGAGCCTGGGTTGACCTTGTGCAAGACAACCGCTCTCCCTACTGTATTATCACTCCAGCCCTGCCCTATAGCATTTCAGGCGACACTGTGTAGTCGGAAACTTCAGGACGGAGCAGAGGGTTTCCAGTCATTTCCCTAACCTCCCTACTCCCCCACCCCCAACTCCAGGCTCCTTGTCTAAACCTAACACAGTGGGAGGAAAGATGGGGTTTCTTACTCATTTCCATGTACTCTGGGGTTAGTCCTGTGTATGGTTCCAAGCTATAGTCTAGGTCCCATTGCTCTGGGTGCTTCGAATGGGCAGAGTCAGTTTCCCCAGGTTCCGTCTCATCTTTCAGCTTCCGAAATAGTTTCTTTAGCTTCCTGGAAAAGAAATGGAACCATCACCAAAAATCTCTGGAGGACAGGGTTAACTCTACAGACAGAAAAGAGGAATAAATTAAGTTTCGACAATGAAGCCAGCTGATCTAAGGACAGATAGACGGGCATAAAGGAGACGTGTTTCTTTCCAAAGACACCCCAGGAGGCCCTGGATTAGAGTTAAAAAGGACTCCCCCAACAAAGGACAAGATTTTGTCAAACTTGAAGAAACTAAATTCTTCCTAATGCTTGATAAGCAACAAAAAGTTGGCCCTTTTTATCAAATGGGACAATCCATCATTTAAGAGGTGATCCTGAGGAAGAAAGGGAGTCCAGAAAGCTATAGACAGGAGCTCACCTCCCAGGAGACTCGTTCATCTCTTAATAATATACACAGGATCCTATTTCCACAAGAGGCAAGCTAATTGTTGCCTATTAAAATTAACCCCAGTAACAGCATGCTACCAATGGCTGAACTGTGCCCTCTCCCTCTCAGATGCTGAAATTTTAACCCCTCAAAGTGAAAAAATTCAGATTAAATGAGACAAAGAAATGAAGTCCTAATCCAATATGACCAGTAGCCTTAAAGGAAAAGGAAAAGACGAGCCTCACTCTCTACCAAGTGAATACACAGGGAAGAAACCCTGTTCGAGTTGCCCTCAAACCAGAAAGAGGATTTTTAGTAAGAGATGGAAACCAGTCTCTACCAGTGTCTGACCCTGGACTTTCCCACTTCCAGAACTCTGCAAAAATTAGTGGTTGTTGTTTAAGCTATGCTATTTTTATGGAATCTATGGTATTTTTATGGAAAACTAAGCAAAGGAAGATATCTACATCCAGAATTTGGGAAATGTGGAATAATACATATTTTCTTAGTAGAAGGATTAATTGAAGCAAAATGTATAATCCTTAACACCCTATCTAATATAGTAATCATTAAATTGATAGCTACTTTTTTCATACTAAACTCTAAAATACACCTGAGAATATAACATTTTTGTTTTCTCTATTGACATACTATAGAGAACAATTGGTTTGAGGCTCTTCGTGTTCCAGGAGCGAGCAGATGCCATTGGGCTACACTAGCACGCAATAGGTATGAATGGAGATGTTACTGGCGCCCGCTTGAGCAAATTGATGAGTAACGGGATGTCAAATGATCAAGTGATTGGCACACAATATATAAAGGAGAAAGGTGCAGAGGCAAGCTGTCATTCTGCTAATCACTCTCAAAGATAGTTTCAAGGTGATATTTGGGAAAATTGGGTCAGAATCACAAACTAGAAGAATTTAAGAGCCTTGCAGGTGGCCAGCCCAGATTCGATTTCCAGCATCCCATATGGTCCCCCAACCCGGGTTCGATTCCCAGCAACCCATTTATGGTCCCCCGAGAACCACCAGGAGTAATTCCTGAGTGCAGAGCCAGGAGTAACCCCTGAGCATCTCTGGGTGTGACCCAAAGAGAAAAAATAAAAGAGGTATTTGCAATCCATGCTTCATGGAAGTGCAGAAATCTCCTTCTCTCACATTCCTTACACAAGATAATCCAATCCTCATGTAGTTATTTCTTCAAGGAACATTCTCCATATCTCTAGGAATATCATTCTATTATTAGAAAGTGCTTCTGACAGTGACATTTCCATATCATAGAAATATAACGGTTCAAAATAATGTTCACATTGGTATCTTATCTAATATCATGCACCACATAGAAGATGTAATATAGTATAGTGGTAAAAGCTTGAGGGCTGATGTCAGTAAAACGTTGTTTAATACAGTTTTACAATTTATAAGATGTATTTTCTCTGACAGGTTATCATATCTTTACAATAATGGAATAAATGTTAACTACCACACAGGGTTACTAAGGAAACGGTCAATGCCTCAAGGGCTTGGTACATACTGAAAGTTCAATTATCATGTCTATCATTGTCCCTATCACCACCACTACTGCCATCATTATTGTTGAAAGATTTAGAAAATGAGTCGAGAGATAGAAAAGCATAGATTTTGTTTTGTTTGGGTCACACCTGGTGATACACAGGGGTTACTCCTGGCTTTGCACTCAGGAATTACTCCTGGCAGTGCTTGGGGTACCATATGGGATGCTGGGAATTGAACCCGGGTCAGCCGTGTGCAAGGCAAAATCCCTCCCTGCTGTACTATCGCTCCAGCCCCAAGCGTATTTTTTAAAATCATAATAAAACAGCAAGTCATTAATTCCATAAGAGTAATAAATTGATTAAAAAAAGTGGATGGAAATTAAAGATTTTGAAGTTTTGGTTGAAACCCTGTCCATGAAGAAAAAATAGAGGAAAAACAAAGGAAGTAAAAGGGCTGGAGTCAGGAGGGAATAAGTGATTTAGAGCCAGAATTCAAATGAAGACTCCACATACAGTATTCAGTATATTTGCACTTAAACTTGCATCTTCAGCAAAGGCTGTTCATAGCCATGATTGTGCTGTGGCAAAACTATGGCTAGTGACTATTTTCTTGAAGATGATGATCAAACTTGAGCGGCACTAAAGTGAAGGAACCACCGCAGGAATTGAGTTAAATAAAAATGTATTGCCTATGTATACATTTTTTAAAAAGGGATGTTTAGGGATTTTACTCTTCAGTATAGCTTGGAAATCCTAGCCAGAACAATCAGGCCTGACATATGAACTTAAATACTCTGAGCGGAATACTAATTTGTCATTTAAAAAGATGACACCATGCTTTGGAGGGACAAAGTTGATGGAGTTTTCAGGTGATAAAACTAAGTGAAAAAAGTAAGAAAGTGAGAGACAATTTTGCTGGTTTCATGCATATACTTTAGTGTATAACTAAAGCAAACTGGCAAACACCAACAAAGCTGTTTTGTATATTCAATAAAATCCATGGAGTTTACTAGAAAGAGAGAAAAACTCTAGGGATGTGTATTAACATCGAAAAGGCAAATGATTTTCAGCATAAGATTTTATATTCAACCACTGTATTCATCAAGTGCAAAGGCAACAAAAAGACACTTTAAAACATTAAAGAGTTCCTCCAAAAGCTATTCTTCTATGTATAAATTTTCATCTAGTTCCAAATTTCATCAACCAAGGATATGAAACAGGAAAGAAATCTACATGGATTCAGCAAACATGGAAATCATCAGAAGGTGTGGTTCTAACTCACATTGCTAACTAGATAGAAGTTTTAATGAACCAACATTTCTTGTTTAGACAGGAGGCCTGTGGGTTCCTAGAGGAAGATCTTATTGAGGTGCAGGGGGGAATCTCCCACCCTCTTGGGTTCTTCTCCAGATGGATGAATCATTAAAACAGCATCAGACTGGTTAGCAATGGAAACATCAATTTAATGACATTCATATGGAGAATGCACATCACAGGAAGGTTTAGAGAAAACTACAAGGGGTGCTGGAGAGATGTTACAAGGGTTAAGGTGCTTGTGTCACCTGAAGCTGACCCTGGTTCAATCCCTGGTACCACATATGGTCTCCTGAGCACCACATTGTCTTCTGGTCATTCTTGAACACAAAGCCAGAAATAGTTACTGACCACCGCAATGGGTGACCCCTAATATCCTGCCACTGCCAAATAACTACTAGGGCACACCTGGCATTATTTATTCAGTGTTAAGGGGCTTGGTATGAAGAAGAAAGGAAGTGGGATTTAAAATAACAGGAAGGGTGGGGGGGGGGGATGCTGGGACCCATGGGGATGGATGACGGGCACTGGTGGAGGGATGGGCACTTGATCATTGTATAACTGAAACCCAAGCACAAAATTTGTAAGCCTATAACTGTACCTCATGGTTTGTCACTAATAAAAAAATAAAATAAAATAAAATAAAATAAAATAAAGTAACAGGAAAGGAGATGACTTCATCTTTATTCTGGAGGCAAAAATGTAGTTTTTTAGAGAGGACATGTTCACTGATAAACTTAGATCTATCTAGGTGACAATTCACCCTTTGAAAATTACATTCTATTATAGGGCTGGAGCGATAGCACAGCGGTAGGGCGTTTGCCTTGCACGCAGCCAACATGGCCGACCCGAGTTCGATTCCTCCGCCCCTCTCTGAGAGCCTGGCAAGCTACCGAGAGTATCTCGCCTGGACGGCAGAGCCTGGCAAGCTCCCCGTGACGTATTCGATATGCCAAACACAGTAACAACAAAAGTCTCCAATGGAGACGTTACTGGGCCCGCTCGAGCAAATCGATGATCAACGGGAGGGCCTTTACTTTACTTTACTTTACTTACTAGGTCATAAGGAGGGTGGGGAGTAATGATTGCTTCTACTATCAGCTGCAGGGAAAAGAACGGAAAGTCACCAAAATATTCTTCTCAACCTCTAGGGTCTTCATTGCTCTTATCTTAAAAATAATTTAGACACTCAATGCAATATTGTCATGACATTTAAAAAAAATCATGGTACCTTTGGGAACAAATCAGATGGAACTTAGTTCCCCAGACCATGGTGATGTTTATTGGGAGAGACCTATTTGGGCATGGAAAAAGCCGATTTATGCTTTTGGTGGTGGTTGTTCCCAGTTTTCAGGGAGGAAATGACAGATAAGACATCTGCAGCATTTCATGCAGTAGTGTCACTGGTAAATTTAAGCAAGTTTTACCGATAAGCGTGATAACTATTATAAAGGTGCAGGTTTGGGTGATGTTGGGGATGGAAAGGAAAGACACCTAACCTGATCTAAAACCAAGAATGTTTTCCCAGGGGACAAGTAATTTCAACCCTAAAATGTATGAACTACATTATCTTGGGGCCACACCTGGTGTGGGGCTACACCTGGTGATGTTTGGGGGTTATTCCTGACTCTGCACTCGAGAATTACTCCTGGCAGTGCCCATATGAGATAAGGTTATATGTGTGTGGGGCGGGGGAGTTGTTGGGTCACACTCAGTGAACCATATGGTATGCTGGGGATTAAACTCAGGTCAGCTGAATGCAAGACAAGCACCCTACCTATCTTCTGTACCACATCTCTGGCCCCT